GATGCTCTTCATCCTACATTATCTCACTTGACCTTCACAATAATCCTGTGAATTCATAAGTATAGATGTCGTTTCTCCATATTCCAGACAAGTAAATTGTAGCACATAGAACCAGTGACTTGCTCAAGGTCACCCAGGTAGAACATTGTTTGTGGAAGAATTTGGATCTAAGTCCTTCCTGACTCCAAATACAGCGCTCCCTACAACACACCAAATGGCTTTTCATCAGTTAAGTATCAGAAATAAGTACGGAGGAAAGAACAAATGACTTATATCATACTTATATTATTCCTGAAGAGCCCAAATAAAATATTTGCTGATTTGTTAGCCATAGCCATCAGATGTACAGAAATGATCTTTGCAGAGAAATAAAGTACATGTACAATGTACCACTCAGTAAAGTCTAGTGATGAAAGAACCCAGTTTAATCAGAATAAGCACCAAAAGAAAAGTAGCTGTTTTTTGGTTTGTTTGTTTTTTTTTTTCAGTGTAAGCTAGCAAATTAAGAATGGGCTTTCCCCTTTTGGGAAATGATGCAACTACACCATTTTAAGCGAATGCAGGAACTCTTAAGGGCCTTGGATTTGTAAGTCAGCAGCCAGGGCTTTCAGGAACTATACTAGTTGTCGATGATGGGTCCAGCACTGCCAAAGGATCTAGCATAAAATCAATAATTTAGAAACTCTTAACAGATTCTATTGATTTACCACTTTGGCCTTTCTCCCTGTCTCGTAAGGTTCTGATGAATAATATGTGTTACTTTTTTAAAGCCGTAAGAAGGGCTCGATAAGATAAACTCTTGTCGCTCTCAGCTGAGCTAAAGGGTACTGCCAGAGTGGGGCCTTTGTCAAATGCCATTCCAATTATTCATCCGTCCAAACCAGGTTATTTAGCTAAGCTGAATTATGTGATCTCATAATATTCACCAGGCATCTAAATGGTTCTAGTGTACACCCTTGCTCCACTGAGCATAACAAATGATTGTTTACTTCTCAAGCCCAGTGATATTTCTGAAACACTTTTATGGATAGCCTCATTTACACTTATGGGCTTTTTCTTCCCTTTTATTATGTCTCTGGCTCATGTTTCATTAACAGGTATATTCAGTGCACTATTGAAAGCTAATCTTGGTTCTTTATAACTTTTCATGTCTTTATGAGATAGCAGTCAGCAAAATAGATAAAGCTCACAAATGTTTGGAAATTTATCATCTTTGGTGTAGCTGGTGGTACAATGCTATGCCTAAAATCAGGAAGACCTGAGTTCAAATTTGATCTCAGTCCCTTACTAGCTGTGTGACTCTGGTCACTTAACCTCTATTTACTTCAATTATTAAATGGGTACAATTATAGCATCTACCTTGCACAGTTGTTGTGAGAATCAAATGAGATAATATTTGTAAAAAGGGCTTAGCACAGTGCCTGGCACATAGTGTGCATTATACAGATGCTTTTTCTACTTTACCTCATTTGATGTCTCCTTTACCAGCTACCTCCAACCTTCCTTTCTAGCCTCATTTTACTTTATTCATCTTCACACATTCTACATTCCAGCCAAATTAGATACTAGCCAATCTTATCCTGCCATCTTTTACTTGCAAGCTGATCCCCTTCTGCTTTGAATATTCTCCATCCTCACCTATTAAAATCTTTCTCTTCAAGTCTCAACGCAGGTACCACCTCCTCCAAAAAAGCCTTTCTATAGCCTCCTAGGTAAAGTAGAACTAGATCATTCTCTGAAACCAGTATTCAACACCTTACTTCCCTCAACTGTCATATCCAGAAATTATTTTCCTTAGAGGATGGAAGTTCTGTGAGACCTCAGCCTTTCAGTTTGGATTTCTCAAATGAACTGGTTAACCTATTGCTCAAGACAATCTATTGCTGAATCTGCCTCAGACAGTTAATTGCCAGAGGCTATCTGGACCTGTGACATTAAAAGAGAGTTTCTACTGTAGTGTTTCAGGTCAGAATTAAATAGTAAAATCAGATCTGGGTGTTCAGGAAACCAAAGCTGGGATTTTGCAAACAGAATAGGCCATCTTTGTGTAGACCAGATTTAGATTCACTTTCTCAGACTTAGTAAAATGGGATGAGATGTGTTTGTCAGGAGGACTGTTGAACTGCTATAAAAATAAGCAAATGAGAGATTGCAAGATGTCAAAATAACACATGTATACTTAAAACTGAGAATGACTGAACACTAATTTTAAATCATGTCCTCTTTCAATTATTTATCCTATTCAGAGTTTGGGTTCAGTATTGCCTTTATTTGAGAATCAACAAAGTCTAACACTTTGAACCAGATGCAAAAGGAGCAGTCTCACCCACTGAGAATCCTATACCCGGATGTTTGATTTTTCTCCATTTTCTATTTTTCATTCCATGCTCCATTTCCCTTTATTACTCCTGGTCCATCCTTCAGCTGCATCCTCACTGGCACTGGATCTCTTGTGCTAACATCCATAATGTACATAAGGTTTCTTAATAATTTGAGAATCTGAAGTTATCACCTTTCCCTTTAACTTCTTTGGATCAAAACTATACCTAGAGTTCTACCACTAAAGTATTAAAGTGAAAATGAAGAACACACAAAAGCTGTGCTACTTAGCAAATGTAATTGAGACCTTACAACGTGGTTATCCTTTGTTTGATCAACTCAAACCCCTTGTCATAAGGATGAAATGAGGCTAGGATGGGTGTTCATAAATTGATGATAATATGTACTATTTTTGAAGAAGTGAGATACCTAAAGAAAAAAAGAATGGTAACAAAACCATTTAACACATTAACCTTTTATCTAGCCAGTTTTTTTCAAGTAGTTTCAAGAATAAGCACTTATAAATGCTGTGTGCTTTGACCCCAACATCATGATGTCATTGGTCCTCTTTGAGTACAAAGGATGAAGAACAGCCAGATTTATTCAAGTACTTTCAAGAACAGGAACTTACAAAAACTATGAGGATGCCAGCACATAGAAAAAATGTGTGTGTGTGTGTGTGTGTGTGTGTGTGTGTGTGTGTGTGTGTGT